GTGGTCATTAAAAGGCACAAGGACTGGATGTATGTTTTGTGAGATGTCAAAGAGCATCACGTGAAACTTCCGTAAATTGGTTTAGCCTCTCTAATGTCCGGCTGTGCACCTTTCGCAGGGTCAGCAGTAAGAACTCTATCCAGGATAGGAAAGGAACTTCGGATTGGTGTGCTGAATCCAGACAGGTTTCAGCCTTACTGATGTCATTAGGCAGTGAACACATATCAATGACGCTGGTCAAATTGGGACATAATTTCCAATATAAAGCCCAAAACATATTTGCATTAGTCAGAGACAGTACACTCTACAAAACAATTTATTTTTGCTAAACTCCGTGACTGGGCCATAGCTATATGGTCAATCATGTAGAGTATTGTAGGTTCCTGTGTACCTCCTAGCTGCGGCCAGGGATGTCAGGAGGTCCCAATGCCGAATTAATTGGCCATAGGAAGCATACTGCTTCCTTGTCCTTAGGGACTTCCTAACTGCCAGCACTTTTCGGGCTTATTAAGGCGACCGCTTACACACATTGCGACTTAAGTGAAGTGTTGCACCGATACAGACACCAGTATCACGCGGGGCCCCGATCCAGCACTAAAATGGTGCTATCGGCGAGTACCAACAAATAGGGCAACAATGCCATTTTGAGAGCCAAAAGTTAATGCACTTATTGTCACCCATTCCAGGTAGACAATAAAAAGTTCTACTGGATTCACTTTGTATTAGTCTTTTCCTTCCTTCAGAAAGGTAGGCAGCAGCTTCACAAAGCCGAGATGGCAATTATTTTACATCCAAGTAGTATGCAGTTTTTAATATATACACACACACATCAATTTCAAACAGATGGTATCGGTATCGGCCAATACTGCACAGCCAGGTTTCGGGTATCCGTATCAAGGCCAAAAAAATGGCATCGGCACAACACCACTTAAGTGTTGTTATGAATATGTGGTATTCAGTTCAAGGTAACATCACCCGTACCTCCTCTATTCTGTCTCAAACAGAAGTTTAGACTTTAGCATTTTTTTATTTAAGAAAATAGAGCAATTTCCAATCCAGCAGTAAAGAAGCCAAGTTTACGAGTGAATGGAAGGTACCTCTCCGCATCACCTTGGATGAACAAAGCAATCTGATGCATCATGCTGTACTAATGTTGTTAGAATGTGTTTTTTTTTTTTTCTGTCTGTGAGCCTCAGAGCTCTTGTGGCTACAATGTAGCTTAACATCAGTGAGTGTGTCTGTGTTCATGGTTGAATATAATGTAAAGCACTTTGGTCAAGTCTCCTGACTGGGGAAAAATAAGCGCAATATAAGTACAGGCCAGTTACAGTTTTTCAGTTTTAACATTAAGAAATAAAAATTAAAGGTTTATAAATATTTTTGCAAACATTTACTAATGAATAAAAAAAATGCATTCCCTTTTAAATAAAGTGACATTTTTTCAGACTACATACATTTTTCAATGTATGTAGAAAATGTGTTTCTAGTCCAGTTCAATACTGGAGCTAAATTTCTGCTCTGTTACAGAGTTATGTCCAAAATGAGGAATAAATTGTTTAGTTTGCCTGTTTAAGAGCAGAATGCTGATGCCAGCTATCAAAGACTATTAAAAGGATTTACTACGACCTGATAATACAGGCATTAATATCGATTACATGAGCATGATAGGAGCATCATCTTTCTTGTTGTGGTTCATAAAGATTTCAAACAAACACTTATGGGGGTTTTTTGTGTTGTTTTTAGTTGAATAGAGCCATAAAGTTACTTGAACAGCCTTGATTACCTTATGAGCATTAATAAATGTTGGATATTGACCTTTAAGTTAGTTATATTTCTGCTTCCTTGGGAAAGCATAAAGTAACAGAACTTCTACTTTTAAATGCTGCTATTTAAGCCAAACTCCAAGGCCTTTCTGTTGTCAGTTTATTTAGGTTTTATCTATTCCTCAGTTACAGTGGCTTCTCCTTTAATTGCTCTGTTTGCTCTCCAGAAGGTTACGTTTAAGAATGAGGGACTAATTAAGCCACAAGCAGTATTGTTTTTTGGAAGAAAAGCTCTGTGCAAAGCATTCTGGTCACTAAACGTACAATGGACCATGAAAATAATCTACTGAAAAAGCAAACAGTTGCTCATAGATCCAGCTCCATCAATGCTACACTTAAATCTATAGTTCACTCTCAAGCTAAGCAGAGCGCATTCTTTTTTTGGCCTCAATAATTAACAGGTCTGTCTAGACCTCAGACAGCTCCTCTTTGAAATAAAGGACCCATTCTGTACCCCATTTATACATTAAGATAAGGCTTTTGTTCCATTTGCCAAATAATCATTAGGGACCATCTGTTTAGAAAAAGGTAGGCTGGTTTTAATTAAAACCCTTTGATTCATTAAATGTAAAAGATATTTGCAAACAGCTTTGCTTGCACCTCTGTAGACAGCCAACATTAAAATAAAATAAAAAAAAATAAGGAAGCATAGGCTAATTATGATGATGGAATATGCAGGAAAGGAGTGCTTTAAAAATATAAGCTTCCATTATCACCTTTTAGATATTTTTACACAAGAACCTTTAGTGTGAGAAGGCTGTTCACTGCAATAGCTAGAAAAAACCCTCCTGCAGGTAACGGCTTGCTGATCTGTTATGTTTCCTGCTATTAAAGAACATCTGCATCATTTTATGATTATAGTTCTGACTTTGAACTCTGCTTCCGTATCTTTTTTTAATTTGAAGTCCAAAGTGCAGTTAAAGAGTGTAACAATTTGAGGGGTTTTTGTTACTTAAAGTTATAATTTCATATAATAATTATCCTTGGCACCAATCTAGTGTGAGGAATCTCTGAATACTATATATGGTTTCTTACATTGCAGCTTAAAGAGGAGTTTTTAAATGCAAAATTGTAGTATTGTAATTTTTATTTATCTTATGATTAATTGTTCAAGGTATAGAGGAGGATTTTAGTGAATTATTGAAAAGACCCACCCTCTCCACTTAAAAAAAAATGCACATTCACAACCCTGTATCCGCCCCAGAGAGGAACACATATTAAACGCGTGTGAGAGGACGCTCTGCTTTAAAAGTTGCTGTTCTTATAGCTCATACAAGCTTACGGTGTCCGAACGTCTGCTCTAACCCCAAAATTCCTCAGTCACTGTATAGAGCGGGGACTATATGGTGGACTTTATAGTGAACTCAGTTAACTGATCGTTCGGACAGATGATCACTTGCCCGTTGGTCACGTAACTCCTCGTCGACTGGGCGTACTTGCGCCCTCTTTGTTAGTAGTCGACAGTATATTACCTAATGCTTTGCGAGGAGAGCTCTCCGTACAAAGCATTCTGGGATATATCTGCCTCTTCTGAAGTCTTTCTTTTCCATCATACATTTCGTGGCCAGTTTTTCTCTGACGACCCTCTGCCATTTTCAAAGAACGGCGGTGAGAAAAGTGAGCTTCAATGACTGTTTGAAACCGTAGCTCACCACACATATGTGGCTGAATGTGCGCATGCGCAGAGAAAGATGGCTAACAGGACAAGCAGGTAGGATGACCTTATGTAAATATATATATCCAAAATGACTGACAATTGGGAGGACCCCTTATTTAGATGATCGTACCGGAAATAAAAGATCATCCTCTATATCTTTAAAGACACTACAAGATATTAGTGCAATTTTACCCACAATTATTCTTTTTTTTTTTTTCTTTGAGCTGGTTGATGACTGTCTGCACTGCTGATTCTATGTTGAAGTGGAAAATAGTCTGTGAATGTAAAATAGGAAATGAGCCGACCTTAGTCGCTGTTAACTAGACATTTAATTTGTTTGAGCTTTAAGTGTGGAGAGGACAGGATTTTAATTGAACCATGAAGTTGTTCTGCCTGATTTTTTTTATTTGTTTATTTGCCAAGCCATTTGAATTTAAATAAATTCCAAAGGGGCTTATTAAAATAAACCAAAAATGTTACTTTTTGAACTTGATATTTGCACATAAGAAGAAAAAATAGCATCACCAAAATGTCACAAGTGAGTTTAGTAAGCTAGTCAATAAAGGTAATTTCATTACAGCTTTTTAGGACCTCACTGACTATCAATAATAGTCAATTGTCTCATGCACAAGTAGAACATGAGATTCCTCCACATAGAGCTGAGAGCTCTGTTTCCTTCAACATTTCCAATCTTGTTCCTAGATTTCATCTAGACCTCAATATATAGAGGTCTGTGAACTAATCAGAAGGCAGTGAGCAAGGTGCAGGTGGTGTGGGCGGGCAGGGATGACAGGACATTGATGATCATCTTGACTCTTCCTTTGTAGAAGGTAACAGCAAAGTTACCTGACCAGTGCAGTCCTTCAGAGTTTTAAGCCCAAATCCGAAACAAAGGGCGACATAAATAAAAGTATGACAATATCATCTGTTTGAAAGAGGATTTTAACAAAGACTATAATATGTGTGTGTCTCTGTCTTCTGCTTTATTAATTAAATTATCAAATTGGGGTTAAGAAACTGCTTTTTATTGACTGCATTGTGATTTCAGGGGAAAAGAACAGAAAACGGGTAATGCTGAGAGGCTTAGCTGTCAGACTGCAGAAAAGACCGAGGTTGGGTTCAGTCAGGCTCATGGCCAGAACACATCGAATCTGATTTTGCATCTAATCCAACAAAAAGTCGTGTTGGACGAGGTTTAGGCGTTTAGCGTTCATTAATAGTCAATGGGTATGATCACACCTAACACGATTTTATTCAAGAGGGCTTTCATAGGTCAGACTGAGATAAAGCCCAGGTCTATTTAACCCTGTAATGCCAAATGTATCATATTTGATACATACGGTTTCTGAAATGTTTTGCGTTTGACACCTTTTGCATAATTTAATGGTAAAAACTTTGCTCAAAATCCTATTGTACACAATCAGATATACCTGATATCAGAGGGCAGAAGACTACA